ATCAGAGAACAATGGCTTTGTCAGTCTGTCTGCTCGTCCTGGTCGGCTGTGCTGCCTCTGTTGCCGCTGATGGTTACTCTAAGGAACACTTGGCTTATAACTACCCCAGACCCCAGATGTACTACGCCCCAGTTCAACCCGCCTATGGATACGTCGGGACCGGAGGGGGAATGTCCGGGGGACTCGGACTCCAAAGTAACCTCGGGGGACTCCTCCCCATTATTCTCATTTGTAAGTATCAATTAGTCGCTTATTATAAAAACTGAAAACTCGGTGAAATTATCCTTCAAATACTATAGTATAAAAAGATGTCATCTCACTTTTAATTCTATGTAGTTTCACAAAACTGATTTGTAAACAATTGTAACATATATATATAACACTGCACACTATTTAATTTTTATGATGAATATATTTTCTAAAATGAAAATTCTGCATTATTTATTAGTTGTGGTTCTGAGCATCGCCGCGCCTGCGCTGATTGGATCACTACAATCCATCAGAGGCGGAACATCCGAGATTCTGGGTTCTCGATCATTGGACTAAAACAGCCAGGTACAACTTTCCTATATTTCTCAGAAATATGATACAAATTCCATGATTTCGTCAAAATAATTAATAATGGATTTTTATTCGTATCTTTTCAGAGTTCCAAAGACGTTGATGTATTTGGTTTATGTATTTCATTTTTTGGACAAATTTTATTTCCAATCTATCTGTAAATATGTATATAATAAAAATGTGGACAAAGCATGTAGAGAAAATTCGAATTAAGTAAAATGGAATAATTTAATTTTTGACTGTATTCTAGCTTCTGATCGGTTAATAATAAAAAAGGAACACAAATAACTTCTGTATAGCCTCGTTTTGTATAGGATCCACTCCCCCCTCACAACCAGTTGAATCATCATATAACTTCGTTTGCAAATGGTCCTGAAGAGAAGGATTTCTCCTCTATAAAATCCCCCAGACCCAAATGGACTACACTCCAGTTTCAAAGAAAAAATGATCAATTTAAAAACAACAGATACCGGTAATTCTTCGTGGCAGTCAGTGTGGGTAGTAGTATGTTAGTATGTCTGTATTCAGGGTGGGAGTTGTTTAGTACACTCTTTGTGATACATTTCTTTGTTTAACCAGCAGCTAAATGCAAAAGATGACTGTACATTAAGATATGCTAAATTTGCGTAAAATAAACTTTCAAAACAGACATTAAAGGATGAACATAATACATATAATCTACAACTTAACAATTCTAAGTAAATAAAAGTATGTATTAATTTGTAAATAGCAATAAACATGGTAATATGTAAAGATAAATTGTCAATCATTGAATATGGCAAATGTTATATGTATTTGTTTTTTTATGCCCCCGTAAACGAAGTTTCGGGGGCATATAGTTTTTGTCGTGTCCGTCTGTCTGTCTATCTCTCTGTTTGTCCGCAAAAACTTTAACCTTGTCCATAACTTTTGATTTAGTGGAGCTTTGACTTTCATATTTCACATGTATATTTCTTGTGACAAGACCTTTCTTTGGGTACCACCAAATTTGACCTCTTGACCTTGACCTTGGAGTTTGACCCACTTTTACATGAAAATTTTAAAATCTTACTTTAATTTGGCCATATCTTTTGAACAGTGGACACCAGGACATTTATACTTAACATATGTAACGTTTGTTAAAAGACTTTTCACTGGATACAAACAACCTTGACCCTTTGACCTTGTAGATTTCCGTACTTGTGAAAAAACTTTAACCTTGGCCATAACTTTTGAACGGTAAGGGATACGGCTTTCATACTTCATATATGTAATCCTTGTGAGAAGACCCTTCATTGGATACCAAGAACTTTGACCTTGACCTTTGAGATTGACCTACTTGAAAAAAGCAATCCTTGACCATAACTTTTAAAGAGTTAGGGCTAGTGCTTTCATACTTTATATATTTGATCCTTATGACAAGACCATTCATTTGATAACAATAACTTTGACCCTTTGACCTTGGAGTTTGACCTACTTTTTAAGAAATTGAACGTTGACCATAACTTCTGAACGGTTAGGGCTAGGACTTTCATGTTCTGCATAAGTATTTTATGTGGCAAGACCTTTTATTTGATACTTATTACACTGACCTTTTGACCTTGACCTTGGAGATTTTTGTACTTATTAAAAACTTTAACATTGACTTACTTTCGAATTTCACAATTGTTTTCCAGTGAGAATATCCTACTTTTGGTACCAATTAATTAAATTTGCATTTAAGAATGGCTTAATCTTTGCTATGTTGCCATACGGGGGCATCAGTGTTTTAGAAACACATCTTGTTTCTCCAACAATCAAGTGCCCTAAAGGGACATTCATAATTAAATCGTTATAAACAAACTTAAGCATATTATAAAAGAAAAATCATTACATGTCATTCCCAGAATCGTTAATGGAGTTATACAAAATGCAAAAATACATTTATATTTGTGTAAATTACTATCTAATATTTCCACAACTATCTGGAACTGGGCATAAAACATCGAAGAAGTAAAAAGAAGATAAGAACAATATTGAATATTGTAAAAAGGAGGCCGAAGAACGATGTACATGCAGTAAATGACAGACAAACATTCACCCTAAGTATTCGTGACACTCATTAAATATACTTTTTTTTTTTTACAGAATACACCTTTATATTTCTTCATAGAATTCAATTTTCTCAAAATCTTGTGTATAATCCCTGAGAGTGAGATAATTCTTTAATACCTCTGACAGGGGCAAGGTACTGATCAATGATTCTATCTCGGAGCCTTTATTAACGAATACTAAATGTTGTCGTAAAGCTCTCCTGCATAGAGATTGCAATGTCAATTGTGGTTCTTCAATTCTTTTTAACATTTCTTGAAATTTTTCTACTTCACTCTCATAGTTGGCTCGTTGGTAATATCCATACTCTGAGCGAAAAGTTGAAATGTCAACTTCCGAGAAGTCAATACTTTGAAATTTTGAATCAACCTTGAAGTTGTATCCACACCTTATTAAAGTCTCAGCCGCCTTAAAATATCCATTCCTTGTCAATGAGGCAAGAATTGATTTTCCTTTATTACTGAAAATATAAGATTCTTTTTAAGGAGGCTGTGGGGTCATCAAAAACATAAGATTTAACTTAATTTTATAGATATGATATCTTAAATCGTCAGCTATCATTTGGCAAAGAAAATTTTCATTCAATTTAATTTTAAAAATTGATCATTTTTGTGTATCTCTGTATGGAGCTCTTCATCTAAAGGAGATCAATCTGGTCTAAAAATGGCCACAACCACCCAGCCCTCTTAATTAGATCTTTTATTACTGTATCAGTTTTTAAATCATACAACGAACAAATTAATATTTCTATTCTCGACTATCGTTATTAAATAATTTCAGTCAAATTCAACCTTTTATTCTTTACAAATATGAGTGAATATTCAGGACATCTGAATACTTACCCAGGACGCAAAAGAACAGATAAATCACATCCCCCACAAAGTAGAAGATTGAACAATCTCAAGTCAACCTTTTCTACGTATTTTTCCTCTGTAAATTCTACACATTCCGCATTTTTTATAATCTTTTCGACAATTCTGAAGAGTGGATGTTGTCTGTAATATATATACGGTTTACCATGTTGACCTAGGTTGATGCTACAACCGTACCGAAGAAGGAGTGGTACAATCTCTGTAGCCTGATCAAAACCTAAAGAAAACGAAAATTCGAGGGTTGATCATATAGTTCTGTCATGTTGTAAATTTTGAATTTACCGGGTGGCTGTAAATACAAAATTTACAACATGACAACTTCCTTTCTAAAATTTTAGCATGATATGATGAAAGCAAACAATGGGTACAATTATAATATAGAGTCATAATGCAACAATATTGGAAAAGAATGTTTCCACTTAAGCATAGTGCCGTGGCCCCTTTTTCGGACCTCTCTAACTTTATCTTATTAACTCAAATGTTAATTATTTTACACCTAACTCATACTTTGTTATCTTTGCAGTATATTGCTTGCAAAAATTCACACTGAAAACGGAGTCTTAGTTTCATAAATGGTAATTTAAAAAGCCATATGCTTCGTGTTAATTCCGGAATGTTGCGCTTGTCCGAGTTGGGTTTTAATTGTGTCACATTAATGTTCAGAGTAAGCGGGGCATTTCATCGATCGATTGAACAGGTCGAGGAAACTATTTTCTGTGACGTCGGAATAAATTTACATGTTAAGTGAGGAACCAACGTGACTTACAAATTGACCAATCAGCTCAATGAGTTGCATTATGGTCTGCTACAAAAATACTACACGTGTGTTTCTAAAAGGCCTATTTTTTTAAATCACTCTCGGAAAAAAGTGATGCATTTTTCCAAGCATTTTACACACTTAATACAATATGAACATCATTATCTACTGATTCCATGCTCACATTTATATACAATTGATTTACAATGATAAAAATAAGGGCTTTCTCCACTCCATTGTACAAGTCCGTTTGTCATGTTTGTTGACAGCTTTCCCCGTGCTGTATAGCGGTACTGTCAGTGAAAAGTCAATTTCACGTGACTATTCCTTAGTCCAAAAACAATCAACTTTGAGGTGTGCTCACGTATTGTCAATGTTTATAACGTACACAACTTCAAAATATATGCTTCTCATGTTCTATGATCAACGTGCATGAGGGTTTATATAACAGTTATAAATAATTTAAAAAATGCAACTTAAGAACCTTTTTTTTGTTTATAAAGTGCAAGTTTTAATTTCTGGTAACAAATAACTGAGCAACAACTACATAAATTTAACCAGTAACATGGCAAATTAACGAATATCGAGTTTAAAAACTTGAGTCTTATTTACTAGTGAAGACTTTGCGGTATTTCAAAGTACTATTTAACAAGGAAAACTTACTTTGTTTGTTAATGTGAGCATGGGGAATCTTAATAAGTACCCAATCTTCGTATTTTTCATGACAAATTTCAAAAAAATTGTTAGCTGACTTTCCTGCAGTCGTTTGAAATCGCGTCCTAAAATTCCCTGAGCCACGTGTTCGTAGTAAAAATAAACATGTAGTAGACCATCATGCTTTTCGGCTCATTCACTGGATTGGACAATTGTTTGCTGTGAGCACCTCTGTGCGCAATCGCAACAATATCCATATAAGGTAGTTTCCTCGACCTGTTGAAAACATGTCATATTTAGCCAGTTATAATGGCTTTTGGAATTTAATACAAAGACAAACTGTATACAAAAAAATAAACACGGAGAATTTCTCAAGGATTACGCCATTTTTTTTTTTTTTTTTTTTTTTACGAAAGATTGTACTGGGGGAGGATCTTTGAGATGTACGATCCCTATAAATCCAGATCCCCCATCTTGTGGTCGTTTCTCGGTGGAAATTTAACACTTTATTAATTAAACTGAGCCTACTTGTATATGAAAACGGGGAAAATCATATTTAAGAAAAAGTTCTATATTTTTTAGAAGAGCAGTGCCTATTGAAATTTTAAACATCTCTCTCTCTGTCTCTCTCTCTCTATTCGTACTTTTTAAAGTACAGTAAATATTCCGCACTTCTTACAAATAATGGTGTACGAAATATTTTTTGTGATGCTGCATGTGGTGATATTTTATTACCAAAACAATTTTATTAATTGTATGTGCGATTGTTTTTTTGTTTTGTTTAAATTGTTTGTTTGGGGAGGGGGGATACCAGTAATTTTAAGAATTCCATGCCAGTGTTAAACAATCTACATAATTATTCTACCCCGTGTCCTTATATTTTTGCAGTCAAAAACACTTTGATGAATGATGTTTCTTTGAAGATGGGAGCTAAATCTTTGAAACTCGTTGAGCCTCCAAACGTGCCCCGTAAATCCAAGGACTAAAAATAAAATATCGTTACATTTTTTTCCAATTTAATATTCCATCACCTTATTAAAACACTTGACAAAAAAGAAATAGTTCTATGTTGATTGATTAAAAATGTACATATGTACATGTAATGTTCTAAGTTGGACGCCTTTCGACGGAATGTTTATCGGATCTACAACCACGTGGTTTATTGATTTTTTTTTTGTATTCACAAAGTTACCTGAGTCTACAAACCACGTGGAAAATTGGAATATTAAACAGGTCACAATGAGGTCAATGACATGTAAATACCCGTAAACAGTGAAGAAAACTGTCGGCGTTTCGTACCTTTTTTCAAAAAGTTTACCCCGAGCGCAGGCTTACCCAAAATTCTCCCTTAAATATGTTGAATTTCCGACAGTTCTACACCTTCTGTCCTTTTGAGAAATTTGGGCAAGCATGCGCTCACTATGTATTTCAGCTCTAAAAATCGGAATAACTTTGAATAACAATGGAGATTAGTGATTTGCATTGACCCCTCTTACAAAACACAGTCTCGTTCTTTTATATTACTTACTTTTAATTTCTGTAATTTTGCAAAGTTGCGATCTAGACCTTGAAGAATTGTTTTATTAATTTCATTAGGATACTTTCTGTATCTTATTTTTGCGCAATTTACCGGGGCCACGTTTTATACACTAAGTGCAATCATTCTTTCATCACTTTCCAATTACAAATAAGGTCACACGAGCTTTTTGAAAATGGAAGGGTAGAATCATAAATAACTTGTGGGAACAAAAAATATGTTAGCTTGAAAGAACTATGATTTTGTGCTCGGATTTTTTTAATGTTGACATATTATTCTATTGATTCAAACATTATTACTCCGAGTCTGTGTTTTGAAAAATGTATTTCCCGCTATATGAGCTTACATCAGTTATATGCATTATATTGATGGAAGAATACATCTCTGAGAGTAAACCTCATGCAGATTGATTTTAACTCCATATTTATCAGATTATATTATGTTGATTGTGTGTATGGATAATAGGATAAATATTAGGGATGTCAACGAGTACCCGGTTAACCGGGTACTCGATCGAACGTCCGAGTATCGAATACTAAAATCGGTACTCGGTTACTCGGATGTATATTTTTGAATAGTTCTAAACTTATTTATTAATGCATTAAACAATCTGTTTTAAAACGTAAAATGCTCATTGCACTTGTACATACAGTAATTAGGGTTTCCTACGACTCTAAATGACCGTTATCGCCTGTGGCAGTGTTTATACAGTAATTATCATGACCAAGCACCTTGGGTACCTGGCTTTTCTCACCTTCGGCTGTCTTCTTCCCTTATTTTTTGTTTGGCTTTAATTATTTGTTTTCACTGAACATCGTTTAAGATCCACTATGTTTAAATAAATTAGATAATTTTGTCATTTCTCCGAGAAGCCGTAAATTCTCAGGAAAAGAGCGGATGATATTACACGTGCGATATTACATGCCAATTCAACTGTTGAAGGCAAAGGCTTTAAAAAAAACTGATGTCCATCGTTGCACCAAACTATAATATACCGTACCGTAATATTATAAAGTCTAGGATCGAAAAAGTGTACGAAAATCGTAAATCTGCTCTGTTAGGAGAACTTGATCAAGTTCAAGTTGATACTGTACGTATCTCTGACGACTGATACCTGGTCGTCAAATGCGACAAAGAGTTACATTACAATTACGTAGCAGATTTTTTTTTTTTAAACAAAAACACTGTGAACAACTTATATTTTTAATTCTTGTGTTTATTTGATAAATAAATTGAATATTATGTATGTTATATTAAATTTCGTCGGGCACGAAGTGGTCATCATTATTATGACAGAAATACATTCACGGATAGGTCTCCTATCAGTGCATCTGGTTTTATTTCTACAAGAGTTTACAATGTTTTATACTTTTCAATTTGCTTGTTCATATTTATTTACACTTTTACCGAGTACCCGGGTACTCGATCGGAAAAACGTCCGAGTAACCGAGTATTAAAAATCGACCGATTTGACATCCCTAATAAATATACAAGTATTACGTAATAAAAGTTGTAGACATTCCGGGGGTCATGATTTTAACAATCTAATATCTACACTATCCAAGGATGCTTCCACATAAGTGTCAGCTTTCCTGGCCCAATGGTTCTTGAGAAGAAGATTTTTAAAGATTTGTTCTATCCATTTCTATGTAAAACTTGGATTCCCTATTGTGGCCCCGCCCTAACCCCGGGTTCATGATTTTAACAATTCAAAATATATACACTACCCAAGGATGCTTCCACATGTCAGCTTTCCTGGCCCAGTGGTTCTTGAGAAGAAAATTTTGAAAGATTTGTTCTATACATTTCTATGTAAAACTTGGAATTTCCTATTGTGGTCTCGCCCTACCCACGGGGGTCATGATTTTACAATTTAATATCTACACTAGCCAAGCATACTTCCACATAAATTTCAGCTTTCCTGGCCCAATGGTTCTTACGAAGATTTTTTCATGAACTCGCCCTATTTTGTCTTTTGTTGATTATCTCCCCTTGTAAGGAGACTTGGCCCTTTATTTTAATAATTTAAACTCCCCTTTACCCAAGGATTCTTTGTACCAAGTTTGGTTAAATTTGGCCCATTGGTTCTTAAGAAGAAGTCGAAATTGTGAAAAGTTTACAGACGGACAAAATGTGATCAGAAAAGCTCACATGAGCCTTCGGCTCAGGTGATCTAAAAATAATTTAAACAAGAGGCCCACGGGCCTTATAGGTCACCTGAGTATTGTGTAACAACTTTCAAACAATTAAATTTCGTTTGTGTTTTAAACCAGAAGCCATGAAATTCACAATTTTGAAAGAGGCACCATTGCTTATCATAAATAAAAAACTGCATGCTTACTCTACTTACTCAATACCCAGAGGTAGATCAGAGTTACAAAGAGAAAATGTTTTTCACTTTGTGCACCTCACCCCAAAAGAACCAAAGACCCTTGGGTCACATATTTCAAAATTATGCAAATTTTGTCGTAAAATGGTTGATTAATATCAAAGAGCAGATTTCAAAGCATTAAATGTACCCCCCCCCCCCCTCCCCTGACCCAGGGGGCATAAAAATAACCATTTTGCTAGATGCACCTTTCTTCATCATAAATATATATACTTGGATCATTGGCATAAAATTCACAATTTTGAAAAAGGCACCCTTGCTTATCATAACTATGTGCTTAATTAGTTATTTAATACTCAGAAGCAGAGAAGAAGATTTTCAAAGAATAAATGCATTTTCACTACATAATCAATATACTCCCGCCCTAACACAAGAATCCCTGACCCTGGGGCCATAATTTCCACAATTTTGGAAAAGGCACTCTTGCTTATCATAACTATGTGTTTAGTTAGTTTATTTAATACTCAGAAGCAGAGAAGAAGATTTTCAAAGAATAAATGCATTTTCACTATATAATCAAAAGAGCCCCGCCCTAACACCAGAACCCCGGACTCTGGGGCCATAAAATTCACAATTTTGGAAAAGGCACTCTTGCTCATCATAACTATGTGCTTAGTTAGTTTATTTGATACTCAGAAGCAGAGAAGAAGATTTTCAAAGAATAAATGCATTTTCACTATATGATCAATAGAGCCCCGCCCTTACACAAGAACCCCTGACTCTGGGGCCATAAAATTCATAATTTTGGTAAAGGCACTTTTGCTTATCATAACTTTGTGTTTAATACTCAGAAGCAGAGAAGATTTTCATAGAATAAATGCATTTTCACCATATAGTCTATAGAGCCCCGCCCTAACACAAGAACCCCTGACCCTGGGGCCATAAAATTCACAAATCTTGAAGAGGCACTCTTGCTCATCATAACTATGTACTTAGTTAGTTTATTTTTAAATACCCAGGAGCAGAGAAGAAGATTTTCAAAGAAATAATGCATTTTCACTATATAATCTATATAGCCCCGCCCTAGCACTAGAACCCCTAACCCTGGGGCCATGAATTTCACAATATTGGTAGAGGACTCAATGCTCATTCCATTCATGCTAACAGTTTGCCTGCTTGATGTCCAGGAGTAAAGAAGAAGATTTTTAAAGATTGCAATAATTTTAGTGGTTTTGTCCCCACCCCTCAGGCCCCAGGGGAGCGGGGACCATGAAATTCACAATTTTTGTTCCCCTTCACCCATAGATGATGTATACCAAATTTGGTTGAAATTGGTTCAGTTGTTTCAGAGAAAGCTGAAAATGCTCAAATGTTAACACACGACGACGGACGAAAACGGATAGCAATAGGTCACCTGAGTTACTCAGGTGACCTAAAAAAATCAATTTATTGCCTGGCAAATAAGAATTTTAACTTCACGCAGATATTCTAATGTAAATTCAATTTAAGATATATTTTACCTAAATTGCATGCATATAAAAGACTGGTTTCAGAATCATCCCAGATATTTGGGTGAGCACCATTTTTCAACAACGCATTCACCAAGTCAGTATCCCCCATGTTGATTGCTACTATGAGATTTGGTGTATCACTACAGTCTGTTTCAGCATTGGGATTTGCTCCATGTGATAGGAGTTGAAAAATTAACTCCTTCGTTTCATCTTTTATTCCACATTTTACGTGCATAAATGCACGATTCAAGGCACATCCTGTATTGGGATCCGCTCCGTTTTCCAGTAAGTATTTGCTAACAGCAATGCATTCAATATCTAAATGAAGTATTTGATGTTGGGACACATTCCTAATATTTATTTATTTTGAATTTTCTATATTTATATCTAGAAATGATAACCAGAAGTCTCTGTCGAGACTGTAGCTCCACTGGTTTATACTTAAAACAAAGGAAGAGAAAAGTAGCAGTTGGGACTTGAAACTTTAAAACAGCATTAAATAGAACAAATGATCCTTGCCGCTCTTCAAAATAAAAACCGATATATAGAATTATGTATCTTAGTATAGTCTACTTGTGTGCCGAATTATATTGAAATCGGACCAAAACTGTAGGAGGAGTAGCATTTTGAAAGCATTTCACAGAAATTTCTATTTTTAGAAACCACGGCAACACCGTTAATTGAAATCAAAAACTGATGCACAGAATTATGTATCTTAGTGTAGTCTACTTGTGTGCCAATTTATATTGAAATCGGACAAAAACTGTAGGAGGAGTAGCATTTTGCAAGCATTTCACAGAAATTTCTATTTTTAATAACCATGGCAACACCTTTCATCGAAATCAAAAACCGATGCATAGAATTACTGTATACAGGAAAATTTTCGCCCCCGTTTTATTTTCGCCCCTTTCGCCCTCTTCTTGATTGGGCGAATTTAAAACGGGGCGAATTCAAATTACACAGTATAATTTCTAAAAAAAAAAAAACTATGACAGGGCGAATTTAAAACGGGGCAAAATTGTTGCCAAGGGCAAAAGGGAGACATTAGCATGGGGCGATAATAACCCTGTATACAGTATGTATCTTAGTGTAGTCTACTTCTGTGTCAAGTTATATTGTAATCGGACCAAAACTGTAGGAGGAATAGCAGTTTGAAAGAATTTCACTGAAATTTCTATTTTAAGTAACCACGGCACACACAAGTAGACTTCACCAAGATACATAATTCTATGCATCGGTTTTTGATTTCGTTGAACGGTGTTGCCAAGTTATAATGAAATCGGACCAAAACTGAAGGAGGAGTAGCATTTTGAAAGCATTTCACAGAAATTTCTATTTTTAGAAACCACGGCAACACCGTTAATTGAAATCAAAAACTGATGCACAGAATTATGTATCTTAGTGTAGTCTACTTGTGTTCCAATTTATATTGAAATCGGACAAAAACTGTAGGAGGAGTAGCATTTTGAAAACATTTCACAGAAATTTCTATTTTTAGTAACCATGGCAACAGCTTTCATCGAAATCAAAAACCGATGCATAGAATAATGTATCTTAGTGTAGTCTACTTGTGTGTCGTTATATTGTAATCGGACCAAAACTGTAGGAGAAGTAGCATTTTGAAAGAATTTCACTGAAATTTCTATTTTAAGTAACCACGGCACACACAAGTAGACTACACTAAGATACATAATTCTATGCATCGGTTTGTGAATTCGATTGAACGGTGTTGTCAAGTTATATTGAAATCGGACAAAAACTGTAGGAGGAGAAGGTTTTGGAAGAATTTTACAGAAATTTCTATTTTTAGTAACCACGGCAACACCGTTCAACGAAATCAAAATCCGATGCACAGAATAGTCTATTTGTGTGCCAATTTATATTGAAATCAGACCAAAATTATAGGAAGAGTCGCATTTTGAAAAATTGTTTACAGACAGACAGACGAACGGACGCATCACTATCGCATAAGCTCTTCTGGTCTCTGACCAGTAAAGCTAATAACAAGAGGCCCATGGACCACATCGCTCACCTGAGCACTGTGGCTGGGAAAAAGTAGAAATTGGTTTATTATTGAATAGTTTATATCCAAAATAGTCCCTTGACCAATCATGGCTTTGTTATTCTTGATTAGAAGATTTAAAAAAAAATTTCTTATATATTTCTATGTAAAACTTTGATTGGCCATTGTAGCCTCGCCCTACCCCCGGGGGTCATGATTTGAACAAACTTGAATCTACACTAAATGGGGATGCTTCCAAATAAATATGATCAATTATGGCTTTGTTATTCTTGAGGAGAAGATTTTTAAAGAATTTTCTTATATATTTCTATGTAAAAATTTGGTCGGCCATTTTGGCCCCGCCCTACCCCCGGGGGTCATGATTTGAACAAATTTGAATCTACACTACCTGAAGATGTTTCCCCATAAGTTTCATCTTTCCTGGCCAGTGGTTCTTGAGAAGAAGATTTTTAAAAGATACCACCAAATTTCAATTAATTCCCAATTATCTCCCCTTGAATAAGGGCGTGGCCCTTCATTTGAACAAACTTGAATCCCCTTTACCCAAGGATGCTTTGTGGCAAGTTTGGTTGAATTTGGCCTAGTGGTTCTTGAGAAGAAGTCGAAAATGTGAAAAGTTTACGACAACGACGACGACAGACAACGGACAAATTGTGATCAAAAAAGCTCACTTGAGCCTTTAGCTCAGGTGATCTAAAAATGTATACAGGGAAATTTTCGTCTCCGTTTTATGTTTGCTTCTTTGACCCTAGACACAAGTAAATTCAAAGAGAAAAGTATCATGTCTTCAAAAGAAATGTTTCTGGGCGAATTTAAAACGGAGAAAAAATATCGGTATTATTTCGAATTGCGAAAATAAAATGAGATGAAAATAACCCTGTATTCACTGTCCGCTTTCAGTTCCAATTGCGTTTTAATGTATTCAATAATTTTACATACAAATTTATAGAAGGCAAGTATCTTGCTAATTTTTAAATGAGATTTATAAATCCCCATGTACGTTTTACTTTCAGTCAAGTTGAATAAACTCACCGCAACCAAATTCACAACAAAGACTCAGAGCCGTTTGTCCATTACAATCGGTTGCATTCACATCCGAGCCATGTTCAACAAGTTCTTGAATAAGTTGTGTAGCTCCAACAGATATCTTCGTATTACACAGAACTTTGACAGCTAAATGAAGAACACTATCTCCGCAGGTGTTTTTCGCATTTAAATTAACCTGGTTCGTAACTAGCAAATGTTGCAGAAAGCGAATGTCCTCTGAAAATAAATTTTATCCAATTTTTTTTAAATTCATATCTAATTGATGCTAAACGATACACAGAATTTGCAAACAAGGTCATTGTCAACTATAAGTTGCCTGCATGTTGCAAAGCTTACGGCATTTGTTCTAGTTTCGCAGAGTAAAGAGTTGATTGATTGATTGTATATTGTTTAACGTCCCTCTCGAGAATTTTTCACTCATATGGAGACGCCACCATTTGCCGGTGGAGAGCTGCAAAGAACTATATGCGGTATATTGCATATATTTGCCCCCACAAAAGTCAAATTTTGAAAACTTCCTGAAATGTGCTAAATTCAATAAATTGTATTGGAAATATAAATTAACAGAAAATATTATAGTGTCAAAGCAGTGTATTCACAATTTTTGTTTTCATGACGTCACAAACTAGTCCGATTTTATATCCTTTTTCAGAAAGAGGACAAAATGGTCAAAATTTCAACAATTTTAGCTTTAAAATTTATAGAGCGCAAGTTTGTTCAGGAACAATATTGACATACGAGGGCTGTTCGGAAATTATTGAGACAATTACATTTACTCCATAAAGGACGGAGATAATTTCATGAAAATTCATCAACATTTTATAAAGAACGAATAAAACTCTCACGCAAAATTTCTAAAACCTGGGATAATTAGATAAATTTTGGTGAAATAATAAACTTGCATATGTCTATTGACCCGGAGCAGCATCGCTACGTCAATTAACGTCACGTCAGTCGGAGATTGATTTGCATGTGAAACGATCGGGAAGCGTTAAATACTCTTCCTTTTTTGTTATTACCTATAACATTAAAAACCAGAAGTCTCTGTCGAGACTGTAGCTCTACTGGTTTGTACTTATCAAAAACCATTTTATGTATCTTTGTGTAGTCTACTTGTGTGCCAACTTATTTTGAAATCAGACAAAAACTGTAGAAGGAGTAGCGTTTTTAAGGAATTCCACAGAAAATTCTATTTTGAGTAACCATAGCAATACCGTTCATCGAAATCAAAAACCAATACACTATTCTATGTATCTTAGTGTAGTCTACTTGTGTGCCAAGTTATATTGAAATCAGACCAAAACTGTAGAAGGAGTAGCGTTTTAAAAGAATTTCACAGAAAATTCTATTTTTAGTAACCATGGCAACACCGTTCATCGAAATCAAAAACAGATGCACTATTCTATGTATCTTAGTGTAGTCTACTTGTGTACCAAGTTATACTGAAATCAGACAAAAACTGTAGAAGGAGTAGCGTTTTTAAGGAATTTTACAGAAAATTCTATTTTTAGTAACCATGGCAACACCGTTCATCGAAATCAAAAACCGATGCACTATTCTATGTATCTTAGTGTAGTCTACTTGTCTGCCAAGTTATATTGAAATCAGACAAAAACTGTAGAAGGAGTAGCGTTTTTAAGGAATTTTACAGAAAATTCTATTTTTAGTAACCATGGCAACACCGTTCATCGAAATCAAAAACCGATGCACTATTCTATGTATCTTAGTGTAGTCTACTTGTCTGCCAAGTTATATTGAAATCAGACAAAAACTGTAGAAGGAGTAGCGTTTTTAAGGAATTTCACAGAAAATTCTATTTTTAGTAACCATGGCAACACCGTTCATCGAAATCAAAAACCGATGCACTATTCTATGTATCTTAGTGTAGTCTACTTGTGTGCCAAGTTATATTGAAATCAGACCAAAACTGTAGAATGAGTAGCGTTTTAAAGGAATTTCACAGAAAATTCTATTTTTAGTAACCATGGCAACACCGTTCATCGAAATCAAAAACCGATGCACTATTCTATGTATCTAAGTGTAGTCTACTTGTGTGCCAAGTTATACTGAAATCAGACAAAAACTGTAGAAGGAGTAGCATTTTTAAGGAATTTTACAGAAAATTCTATTTTTAGTAACCATGGCAACACCGTTCATCGAAATCAAAAACCGATGCACTATTCTATGTATCTTAGTGTAGTCTACTTGTGTGCCAAGTTATACTGAAATCAAACCAAAACTGTAGAAGGAGTAGCGTTTTAAAGAATTTCACAGAAAATTATATTTTTAGTTACCATGGCAACACCGTTCATCGAAATCAAAAACCGATGCACTATTCTATGTATCTTAGTGTAGTCTACTTGTGTGCCAAGTTATACTGAAATCAAACTAAAATTGTAGGAGGAGTAGCGTTTTGAAAAATTGTTTACAGACGGACAGACAGACAGACGGACGGACGCCGGACGCATTACTATCGCATAAGCTCTTCTGGTCTCTGACCAGTAGAGCTAAAAAAATCAGACAGTCTCTTTTCTTAAAGTATCATTTGAAAATGTATGCTGTTTCTACCCCAGTGTAAAATTTTCATTGGAGGAAAGGATGACTTAGAATCATGCACTGTCGATTTATGCAACGCAGGTAAACGATATTTTAAAATGCCGTAACGATATTAATATCGTGAGTAATAACTTATGGTTGTCCAGAGCTTTTACATTTTACATTTACTCTGGTTGAATTAGTTGTAAAAAAAGAAATTTATACCAATGAAATAACTATCCAAGCACATTATTTTTTTCTCACTTTTATTAGGTCACCTGAGTAAACTCAGGTGACCTATTGCTATCTGTTTTCGTCCGCCGTCGTTCGTCGTGCGTCGTTCGTCGTGCGTTAACATTTGAACATTTTCAGCTTCTTCTCTGCAACCACTGAACCAATTTCAACCAAATTTGGTACAAAGCATCTATGGGTGAAGGGAAACAAAAATTGTGAATTTCATGATCCCTGCCCCCCTGGGGCCTGAGGGGTGGGGCCAAAACCACTAAAATTAGTGCAATCTTTAAAAATCTTCTTCTTTACCCCTGGACATCAAGCAGTCAAACTGTTTGCATGATTGTAATCAGCAATAAGTCCTCTACCAAAATTGTGAAATTCATGGCCCCAGGGTCAGGGGTTCTAGTGCTAGGGCGGGGCTAAATAAGTAGGTAGTGAAAATGCATTATTTCTTTGAAAATCTTCTTCTCTGCTCCTGGGTATTAAAGAAACCAACTAAGTACATAGTTATGATGAGCAAGAGTGCCTCTACCAAAATTGTGAATTTTATGGCCCCAGGGTCAGGGGTTCTGGTGTTAGGGCGGGGCTCTATTGATTATATAGTGAAAATACATTAATTCTTTGAAAATCTTGTTCTCTGCTCCTGGGTATTAAATAAACTAACTAAGTACATAGTTATGATAAGCAAGAGTGCCTCTACCAAAATTGTGAATTTTATGGCCCCAGGGTCAGGGGTTCTTGTTTTAGGGTGGGGCTCTAATGATTATATAGTGAAATGTATGAATTCTTTGAACATCTTATCCTTTGCTCTTGGTTAATATGCTAATGATCTAATTACATATCTAAGGCCAGGATTTATTTTATTTTCAGTTTTACAAACCCTCCGCTCAAGGTTTTGAACTTTTAGAAAAAAATAAAACAATTTTTTTCTTTCCGATGTCAAATTTGAGTCGGGATCGAGATTTCAAATTTACGAACTCGCACTTCCGGTTTTTAAATGAAACGGAAACGGCGGGTAAATAAAGCTAGATCCAAGAATTTAGCATGGTTTAGTGTAAAATTCATCGATAAGAGTGCCCTTCAAAACGTTTCACCCGTTCAAAGGACAAATAAAATGCTGACGACTTTGTTGCACAATGACATGCTGGTGAGATAATTATGTATTCGTTTCAAAAGTAACTGTAAATTATTTTCCTCCCCCAGGTTTTAAACTGCCCGTGGTAGCTATTGCATATTGTCAGGGACATTGTTTAGGTCTCTGTTATAGCTTTCAGTCTAAGCATCATTCTTCAGAAAATGGTTGCTTATGCATCAGATGTAATGAATAAAACTATTGGAGAAGTGAAGTCCATTTGAGGAAGAAATAAACAATAACCTGAAGTGAAGAAATAAAAAAAAAATTCAACTATTAAAAGGCAAGAATATACAAATATATGTAGTATCATTTATATCAGCCAGAAAAATTATTTTACACTTAATTGAAAAAATGTTGACCCTACTCCCCAATACTTCCTGTCTGTTTTATGATAGGAATTATAATTTTAGGCATCAAGTAAATTTTAAAACAATGTCTACACATTCACCTAACACATATTAAGAAAATGAAGATGTATTGAAAGACTTTTAAAGAATTGATTTTTTAAAATATATTTTGATCAACATCACAAAATTTATATAACTGGCCCAAACTGGCAGATGATGAAATAAGCAATTAAATGTTCTACTTTCCTATTTGTAAGCATTATGTGTCCAGTGGTAAGGAGCCTATTAGGATAGCATAAAAAAGAATGTACAAATGTTAATAATTGATTTATCAAAAAAAATTATTTCCTTTTGCTTGCGGGACTTTTTTATTCTCATGTTCATAACTAAACCTAAACATAAAAAAAAATGCTGGCCTTATAATGAAGAAAGGGTCCTCTTTCAAAATAGATAATTTCAGGGCTGCTGGGTCAGGGGTACCAAGGGGGTACTTTGACTAAAAATAAATTAATGCTTTGAAATCTGCCCTTTGATAAGCAATGGTGCCTCTTTCAAAATCCGTGAATTTCATGGCTTTTGGCTTAAAACGCGAACCAAATACAATCGCTGGAAAGTTGTTACATGATACTCAGGTGACCTATAAGGCCCGTGGGCCTCTTGTTGTTTTAGAAGGTCGTTAAGTCTGGAAGAAAGAGTTCTACATTGCGCTACACAAAATTTTAGGTATGCTGGCTGCTCCGCCCTTGACGTCAAATTCCATTTTGTCGTTGTTAGCAGATTTTTCTACCGCGCTTAATTTTTTTATGATCTCCGTATTTCTGATCAAAATTCTATAAAAGATGCACAAGATGAATTTGAAATAAAGCTGAAAAATTATACACATAAACTGAATTATTTCCGCTCTTATTATTGGTCCACGACAAGCTAGAACGGTGGTGTTACATATTTTCAAAATCTGATTTCATGACTGCTCCAGGTACCCCTACTATTGACGCATTTATATATCATTTCAGAGAAAATATTTAACATTTGTAAAATATATCTTGCTTTTATTGATTCTTAGTGTATGTTAAACGTATATGCATATTTTCACCGAAAGACGTTCATTAGAAAGCAAAATATACACAATGTCTCAATAATTTTCGAACAACCCTCGTATTTCATTGATATTATCATTCTACACATTATATCAACATATTGATCCTGAACACACATGCGCTCGGTGATTTTTACCCAAAATATCGACGAAATATGTACATTTTTCTGTAAAATTCATAAAAAAGCAAGCTGAAGTTTACGTCATGTTTGTGACGTCATTACGTACATATGGCGTCATTACTTATGAAAATATTCAGTGCTTTGAAGTCAGCATATACTCCCCTGTTTAAGAACTTAATTAGATATATCTCCATCAAAGTTTGATTTGGGGGGCAAATATTGGTTATTACCGAATAAAGTTCTTTTGTCCTCTACTCTGCACTCAGGGCCATTGAGCAGGGAGGGATCTTTTTCGTGCCAGCACCTATTGCGACACGGGGCCTCGGTTTATACGGTCTCATCCGGCCTCCACGTCCCGCAGTGGGTTTCGAACCCGCGACGTAAGGATTTATACTCTTTACTTCGCGACTCTAGAACAGACGCTCTAACCACTGCGCCACGCGGGCGACGAGTAAAGAGTTGAACCTCATGTGCGAGTTTCAATACCACTGCAGGACGTTAAGAACGGCACTTCGGATAAAAAAGAATAAAAACGATGTTTTGTGTCTAAGTAGATGCCGGCAGTAGAAAGATCCCTTACTGCCCAAAAGCCAAACTGCAAAGTGCATGTCCATTTGTAATCAGTATAAATGGTAGCTTTTCAAAATGAATGAACAATTCTCGAAGGTTAAAAAAAAACACAAAGAAAATATATTGATTTTGGAATTTTCAAAATAGTGATTTTAAACAAGATAACTGATATTGTTGTATGAAATTTATTCGTCAGAACCATGCTTCGATTTAAAAAGAGGTCGGTCACCGGCTAACAAGATGGCGACTCCCATGAGAGAATTTACTTTTTAAACAAAGATATGTGGGTTAGGTATAACAGTTGCAACGCCGCAGTCGGTAATCTACTTTTTTTTATGATGGAACGCAAACATTATACCCAAACTAGAGGTACTGTGCGCAATGAGCTCACTAAATGATACCCCCCGCCTCCCATAATGTCTATGTGTAGTCTTGTTTTCCCAGACTCTCGCTCTCGAGACTTTGCCCGGATGAGAATCTGGTCTGATTACTATTCTATTTTTGTAACCAGTAGAGGTCGCTAAACCAGCCAACAAGATGGCGGCTCCCATGAGAGAATTTACTTTTTAAAAAAAGATATGTGCGTTTTTTGTTCCTTGTAAAGCAGACAGAGGTATTCTATTATAAAACCAGATAAAAGTAAAGGCGCAGCCTCTCTTTTTTTAAAGAATACAGATCTTAGCATCGAAGAGAATGTATCAGCCAATGAAAATCCAAACCGATTTCTCGGTAAGCCTCGACTTAAAATTACAAAAATAGAATAGGAATCAGACCAGACTCTCGCTAGGGCAAAGTTTCGAGAGCGAGAGTCGGGGGAAAACGAGACTAGTCTTATGTGTTGCTATATATTGTTGTACGATAATGTGTAAAGAGGAATAACTCGTCCCATCAAATGTTATCCAGAAGCTTCTATATGTGACGTCATAGGTAAACATATAATGACATGTTTTGCTATGGGAAACCTAAAATACGCGTCGAATAAAAAAGTAAAATAGGAGGTGCACAATGGCAATATGTAATAAAGATTCTGTGAAAGTTTCATTAAATTTCACTCAGTAGTATTTAAATCAATTTCTTCTTTGTGAATTTCTTCTTTGTGAATTTTGAATTTTTGCCATCCAGTAAAAACTAAGCATGACCTTACTGACTGTTAAGCTTTTGTTGATAGACCCCCCCCCCCCTTTTTTTTTAACAATTTTAAAACATTACCTCTCTGATCTTTTACCAGAACAGATAGAATGGAATCGTACATCACATGCAGTGCATTTAATTTACTCGGCAGATCATTCACCCTCGCTCCATTCTTCAGTAAAATATGAACACATTTAGCATTAAATGTTTCTATTGCTTGAATTAAAGGATTTTTCTCAAGTTTTTCTTGGTTTGGATTTCCGCCGAATTTTATCAAAAGTTTAACGATGGACGATACTTCATCTTCAGTGTGATATTTTGCGTTTTTTAGGATTAAATATAAAGGAGTCTCGTGGTCTGAATTCGTGTCGTTTGGAGAAAGACCCTGCTCTAGCAGGTAGCTGACCATTTCTACAACGCTGCCGATACCTGAAAAATAATTCCTCACACGTTGTTATAATTTTAATGTTATCAATACAAACAGTACACTTAATTATATATATATATATATATATATATATATATATATATATATATATATATATATATATATATATTTAATGAACATTTTATTATATTGCGCTGTTAAAATAGTGCTTTATAAACTTTATATATATACGAGTCATATTCACATTAAATTATGCATTTTATTTCTCTTCTGTGTCCAAAGGTAACAACCTTGGACAAATATTTAACCAAATTTTAAATTCTGATCCTCTTATGGACCTGCTGTTCTTGAAATATATCTGAAACATTATTTCCTGTATTCCCATGAGCAAAAATTTTTTTTCATCTTTTCCAATATTATATAGAAATTTTTAAAACAACCCCACAACTTAAAGAAAAGGCCCATAATTGACCATATGGCTCACTTGAACACTGTAACAAGGAAAAAACTAAGAACATTATAGTATTGAAAAGCTTTAATGCTGTATTGGTCCCAACCTACCCCTACAAAGAGTTGGTATGACTTGAACAAAATTGAATATACACTAAATAAGAATACTTACCTTTTTTACTGTGACTTTTTTCCCTACAAGTTTGAACTTCTATTGTGACCCTATCCTACTCCTGGGGATAATTGTTTGAAAAATACTGTAATCTTCACTATCTGGGCATACTTCTATATAAATATGTCCAATTATGGCTTTGCTGTTTTTGAGAAGATTTTCAAAGATATCTCCTATGCATTACTATGTAAAATTTTTATTTCCCCACCCAACCATGGGGACATGATTTGAACAAACTTGAATCTACACTACCTAAGGATGCTTCCACATAAGTTTCATAATTTCTGGCACAGTGGTTCTTGAGAATAAGATTTTTAAAAGGTTCAATGTTTCACAAATTCACGATAAACTGCTCTTGAAAGAAGGCGTGCCCTTTTATTTGAACAAACTTGAATCTCCTTTACCCAAGAATACTTTGTGGCATGGCTATGTAGTTCTTGAGAAGAAGACGCCAACTACGAAGGACAACGGACAAATTTCGATCAGAAAAGCTCACTTGAGCAAAACCGCTTTTATGAAAGGAAAGTTTACTTATGTCTTTTGTTGCTCACTGAATGTCTTGAAAATCATATTTGTAAAAGTTCTGACGACAATGCACTTATTTGGACACTTAGTGACCCCTTAGATACTAAATTAACACCTTTTATTCTGCAAGAAATATTACAATTTCACGAAAACTGTATTTCAATATCTGGACTCAACGAGGAATTATTTTTTTAAATAGGAAATGAAAATTATATGCAGCACAGACTGACAAAGTGAACCGTGACTTTGCTTACCTGAAGACAAACAAAGATGCAGACATGAGTTTTCATCCTTGTCTTTTAAATGCAAGTTAGCCCCCTTTTCAACCAGAGTTTTCAGTTTGGACAAATGTCCAGTCGAGGCAGCGATGTGTTCTTCCGAGAGTCTTCTATCAGATTCACAAACATCTTCATCGTTGCATGCAAGTAGGGTAGCAATTTCATCCCGCAAACTTTTAAAGTTTTCCGATTTTTTGTAAATGTCAGACTTCAAGTACAAATCAAGAGGTGTAGAGCCTTTATAAAGTTCAGTCAGGCTTCCTCCAGCCTTCTTGTGGAACTCTATATACTCGATGCATTCTTTTAACAAATTTGGTGTAATAACAACTACCAAAAGAAAATGGCAATGCTCGATGCATTTTTTAAACCAACTTGGTGTAATAACTACTACTAAAAGAAAATGGGAAATGCAAAGTCATTTACGCTGTAAAAAACTTAATAATCATGAATCCTTATAACCATTAATTACTTTGTTTTTTAATTAGTTCAGCGCCTAAAATAATTCTTAAAGGAGTCAAAGAAAGAAAGAGAAAACGTTTTCAACATGCCTTATCGCACAATCAATCAGTAAATAAGCAGAATTTTCGAGCTAGTTCTGTGCGTAACCACAGGTGCTCGTAAACAGGATTATCCCTACCCCCCTTCCCCCAACCCTGTGAATAGAAATTGCATATGATTGATATATTTCTGTGATTTTCAAACAGAAACATATAGATTAAATTGCCAGAGATTAGAAAAGAAGAAAACAATCAGATTTTTATTTAATATTGAAAAGGGTGGGGGGAAGGAGGGGGGCAGGGTTAATCCTGTCAACGAGCACTGTGTGCGTAACTACAAGAAATGGAAATAAATAAAAGTAAAAATGCTAGTAACACTTACTTTTATAAAAGTCGAAAGGTAGCCAACAATCATGTAAAATACCCCTTTCTGACTTTTTAACAGACAGGTCCGCCCCTCTCCTTACTAAGGCTTTCATCAATGCGAAATGTTGATGTTTACAAGCCAGCTGTAACAGAGAAGTTAATTCGGTCTCTATACATTTCGCTCCAGCGTTCAGTAAATGTTCTATAATTGAGCCTATGCATTTGTATGTGGAATACCCATCCCTGAGGTAAAATTTTCGGTACTTTTCTACTGTCTTCTGAAGCACAGTTTTCCCTGATG